GCGCTGTCCTCCTGACAACGCTCATCCTGGGCTGCTGCCTCGGGTCCAGGCGCATGGCTGTGGCTGTGCTGCCGCGATGCCATTGTCCCCGGGCCCTTAGGACCCAGGCGTGTGGTGGGCAGAAACCCGCGAGCGGCGCAGCGGACACGCCCACAGAGGCTTCTGGAGCAAAGCGCCAGGACCCCGGTATCTCGGCCCGATCCCAGCTCAGGGACCGTCTCGCCCGCCGCTCCTGCTCCCAGAGGGTCCGTATTCACGCCAGGGACTCAGGTTTAAAAGAAGAAATGACCTGAGGACCACTGATGATCTCAGGAGGCATTTCCAGTAATTGGGGCAAAGCTGTTATCACCCCGCCCGCTCACCACACCCTCTCCTGCCACGGAGAGCTGCGTCTCCAGGCTGTGCTGCCCACAGAGGACCAGCTCGCTCCGTGTGGTCTGACTGACGGCACCACGGCCGAGAGAAGCAACCAGTCCAGATGCTGGCAAAGGCAGCACCAGGCCCCTTTCCAGGCACGTGAGCTCCAGCGGGAGGGACACAGCGCGGTGGGGTCCCACGCCACAGGGAGCTGCTATGGCCGTCACCTTCAGACCCAGCATGGCCCCTCCCACTGCACTAAGCCCCCAAGGCCCAGGAGGGGCCTCCACCCCAGTGACCACGCTGGGGGCCAGGGAGGCAGCACCGGCCACAGCACCGGCCGCCCTTACCTTTCCTGAATGAGTCCAGGCTGAACATCTCGGGCAGGAGGGACGCTGGAACCTAGAACAAAGCGCGGCCAGAGGCAGGGTCAGTGTCCGCCCAGGGCCCTCCGGGGAGACCGCGGCAGCAGAGAGGCCCCGGGACTGAAGAAGCTGCCCCACCCGGCCGAGGGAGTGAATCTGCGCCCCGGAGCCCGGCTGCTCCCGTCCGAGGGGAGGGCCAGCTCCACGCGAGGGCGCAGGCTTTGCTCCCTCCTCCCCGGGAGCTCTCTCCTCCATCCTGAAGTCCGAGGCCCTGCCACAGAGGCGATCGCTTCCTCGCGGACCCAGAGGCCCCGCTCCAGGAGCCCTGCCTTCCCGGGACCTCCAGGAGGAGCTTCCACGGGACCCCTCTCCTGGGCGTCGGGAGCTGGGCTGCCGCCCGCCCCACAGACAAGCGGTTGACTGGGCTTTCGGAGAAGCCAGGTCAGCCCACGAGCGGACACAGCCGGCCCCTGATAACAGACGGTGAGTTAAAAGTTCAATTGTTATCCTGCTGACTAGGCCCCCCTCCCCCCAAAAAAGTTCAGTTGTTGGCAAAAAACGGTGTCGCATTTTGCTGGTTGGTACACTGAACTGAGGAAGCTACCTAGGGACTTAGAAGAAAGTAACGCCTCTGGTTGAACAATTTCGTTTTAAAACGCAGTTAAACTCAGGACGATCGATGTTTTCAATGACGTGTTTTCTGGGGTTGGTGCAGTGACATCACGTGGCCTTCGCCTGAAACATCACACACGCCTCAGAGGGTCGGCCTTCCCAGGCGTCCGCTGGGCCTGGGCGCCTGCCTCTGACCACTGTTCCCTCTCCCTGCGGGTCACAGGCGGTGGGGGTGCAGGTCTGCCCTGATGCCCTCCTCCCCACAAGAGATGCCGGGAACTTCAGCTGCTAGGATATGGCAGCTCAGAGAGAAAACTTCAATATAATATCAACAAGGATTCAATTTACTTTAAGAAATTACATTCCATAGACTCCTTCTGTCCAAAAGAAAAGTGTAATTTGAGATTCTAACTTCATAGAAAACCTGAATATTATAAAATGTAAAATATCTAAGTGATTATTTAAGAAACAATACTTTCTCACCAAAAAATTGTAAGTTAATTTGCTTGTAAATAGACTTCTGGTTTTGCTTTTTAAAAGTCCCCAATCCTCTCCATGCCAATACTAACTCATATAACATGTCATATAACACTATCTTTTCCTGTATCAAAAAATACAGTATGGCCGAAACCGGTTTGGCTCAGTGGATAGAGCGTCGGCCTGCGGACCAAAGGGTCCTGAGTTCGATTCCGGTCAAGGGCATGTACCTGGATTGTGGGCACATCCCCAGTGGGAGATGTGCAGGAGGCAGCTGATCGATGTTTCTCTCTCATCGATGTTTCTATCTCTCTCCCTTCCTCTCTGTGAAAAATCAATAAAATATATTTAAAAAAATACAATATGATAATCAAGATCTTTTTAAAATACTGATTTTAGAGAGAAAGAGAGAGAGAGGGAAAGGGATAAAGAGGAAGGGAGAGAGAAATATCAGTTTGTTGTTCCACTTATTTATGTATTCATTGGTTGATTCTTTTTTTTTTTTTATTGACTTTTTACAGAGAGGAAGGGAGAGGGCTAGAGAGTTAGAAACATCGATGAGAGAGAAACATCGATCAGCTGCCTCCTGCACACTCCCTTACTGGGGATGTGCCTGCAACCAAGGGACATGCCCTTGGCCGGTATCGAACCTGGGACCCTTCAGTCCGCAGGCGGACGCTCTATCCACTGAGCCAAACCGGTCAGGGCCATTGGTTGATTCTTGTATGTGCCCTGACCAGGGATGGAACCTGCAACCTTCACATATTGGGATGACAACTCTAACCAACTGCCAGGACCCAAGATAGGATCTTAAAGAAAGAAAAAAAAAGATCTTTTATTGGTGATATTTTACAGAGATCAAAAGAAAGCTGCCTTCCTCGTTGGAAACTTTCAAGGTTCAGAGTTTCTCTTTAATAGTTTAGAGAGAAGTAAAATAATAGAATATCAGGTTTTGCACAATGAAACACTACTTAACTCCAGGAAGTCACTATGGGATGCTTCAAGGACAGAGAGCTTCTATAATGACTAATTAAAAATGACACCCTGGCCCTAGCCATTTTGGCTCAATGGATAGAGCGTTGGCCTGTGGACCAAAGGGTCCCAGGTTCGATTCCTGGTCAGGGCACATACCAGGGTTGCAGGCTCCATCCCCAGTGGGGGGCGTGCAGGAGGCAGCCGACCAACGATTCTCTCTCATCGTGGATGTTTCTCTCTCTCTCTCTCCCTTCCTCTCTGAAATCAATAAAAAACGTTTTTAAATGACACCCTTCGTCCCAAACAGTCACAGGTGAATGTAATTCGCAAATGGCTGCTTTCCGGGGTCTGAGCCCGAGACCCACCACGGCCTTGTGCCCGGGGCTGACTCACCTTACGAGAGCAGTGAAGACCTCAGCTTCTGCGGGCGTCTGAACTGCAGCTGAATCCTCTCCGTGCTCTTCCTCATCACGAGGCTGGCCTCCTCCTGGGAAGTACAGGGCAGGGTCACTGAGAGGTGCGCCCCTCCCTCCGGGAAGGAGAGTGGCTCCATCACTGAAATTCACTTACTACCTCCGCAACAAGGACAAGTTTTGTTAGTGGCATGAAACACACATGGAGACACTGGCCTGGCTTCAGGACCTGCCACGACCCACTCTAGACTCACCAGACCATGAGCTGCCCTAAGTCATCACCCCTGAGAGGCCACGGGAGAGCCCTCCTGCAGAGGGGCCGGGAGTTCCGAAAGGCTTCCCCCAAGCCCAGAGCACAGCTGCGCCAGCTTGGAGTTCTGCTGCCATCAGGACTACGGCTCACCCAAGGCAGGGAAAGCAGCTCGTGGCGTTCGGGGAAATAACAACTAGAGCACCATTTTCCTCGTTTACCAAGGCAGGAATTCTCTCCCAGAGGTTACACAACTGGCCCAGGACCCCGCAGCTGCCTCGGGGCAGAATGCAAATAGGCAGTTAGGGACTGAGCTCCGAAAGTGAAAGCGGTCCTGGCTTATCCTACACTAACTCCCCTCCATGCTGTGCCCAGTTGGCCCCTGGGTGTTTGAAATAACATTGGATAATAGCATCTTCAAAAGCTGAAAGGCGCCAGAAGTGTCCAGGGATAAACTCTGAACCACAGCTACAGAAGTTAAAACACATGGAGAGTGAATACCTTTTGGAGGTATAGGCATACCCCACGCAGGTTGAAAAAAAAAATGCAGCAAAGAATGTATTTGCAGCACCTTAAACAGCTACAGAAATAGCACCATCCTAAACCCTAAGAACTAGGGGGGGAGGGAGGAGGGGAAGGGGGGGGAGCGGCCTCCTGGAAACTCCAAACCTCCAAGATGTAAGTGTAAATTATACCATGTGGTCAACACCCACAATGACAGTGGGTTACTTCTTTCAAAGAAACTGCCAAAGGAAACATCAATGTCTCATTTATTCTGCTCAGTAAGTTGCAAGCAAAAACGGGCTAAGAGTCTGCAAGTGGCCATCTGCGTCCACCTGCTACAGGGCACGGCAAGCCCCCGTGGCCTGGGGGTGCAAAGTGGGAGCACCCTGCTTGCAAAATCACAACGAAGGGGACGGACGCTGCGACAAGAAGACTAGCGAGGAGCGTGCTAGCGCCATCCTCCTGGCTTGGGGGGCTCTGAGGCCCCCTGGGCTCCAGTTCACTGCAAACAAAGAACCCAAATGCATGACCACCAGCAAACAAAGAACACCTCACCCCTTGGCTTCCCCCGTGACAGGGTGGGTGCAAAAGGGGGCAAACCGGGGGGGGGCAGATTGCACCAGGCCTCCCTTTGGGCGCACGGCCCAGGCCGCGCGGGGGGCAAACAAAGGTCCCAGGGCACTCCAGGGGCTCCCTCCAGGCCCGGCCTCGGGAAACGGAGCATCCCCGGAGGCGGAGGCGTCGATGCGCCAATGAAGCGGCCTCTCCCGCGGCCTCAGCAGAGCCCCTGGCTACCAGGCCCACCC